TAAATTATCAGTTAATAATTTACAATCATTAACTTGTAATAGCCTTTAACAGAAATGGTGGCAGTGGTGTCTCATTTTGAAAGAATAGTAAGTCATAGGAATAAATAGTGGTCACTTAAGACGTTAGGTTTTATTTTGACATGACACATTTGCACAACAGGTAATTGTTTAATAAATCTATATATGAGAATGATCACAGTCATTAGGCATTAACTAGGTATTGGATACTTTTTTATCTTGAGTAATGTGTCTAATTTACAGCTACTATTAATGTATATTATCAAGCAAACATATTTTGCAAACCCAACAACATATAGCCTTGGCTACAGGAGTAAGTTAAAGCTATATAGGAGTAAAATTCATAAGTTTACTCAATTAACCCTCAAACGTCCCTCATTTCCTGTTTACACTTAAGTCCCTTGGGGTCAATATGACCCCAAACATTGAAAGAGTAATTGTGAAAAATATATACATTTTTAATCATACAAATAATATATCATTTTTTTTGTTTACTTCTCATCTATACATTAATGCTGTGTTTTGGGAGATATGAAGTACTTTTGTACCTATTTACCACAAAATTCCTCAACTACACCATTAGTTTGCATGTGAAATATTCATTTTGTATGAAAAAATCACTTAAATGATCACCTAAATTTAATTCAAGTTGCTTCTGGATATTGATATAGGTGTTAGGTGTAGAATTCTGACATATGCTTTTTTTTTGTTTACTTCTCATCTATACATTAATGCTGTGTTTTGGGAGATATAAAGTACTTTTGTTCCTCAGAATTTCGCAACACCATTAGCTTGCATGTGAAATATAAATTTTTTTTATGAAAAAATCACTTAAAGGATGACCTAAATTTAATTTAAGTTGCTTCTGGATATTGATCTAGGTGTTAGGTGTAGAATTCTGCCATCTGCTAGTTAGAAATAAACCTAAAAGGATTACAGTTTAGGAAAGAAATTGTTTTGACCAGCAGAGGGCCATAGAGAGCCATTCATTTTACTGGATGTGACCAACTGCTTCTATCACAACTTTTGTGATACATTTTGTGAATTTATGTATATATAAACATTAGAAAAGACATTAAAAATAAATATTCTTTCAAATGGTATAATTTTTTGTGGTTTTTGATGCATTTTGAAATGTCCGTTTTCAAAAAATGCCACAGAAATTTGACAAAAAAATGCCACATAAGACACACCTAAAGGACAAGACTTAGAGTCAGATTGTAGTTGCATATTATTGATTTTAATGAACCAAGTGTAAAAAAAATAAAAATAAAATAACTTTAGAATGTGGAAGAAATTAAAAATGTAAATAAAACCAACAGCAATATGCAAATTTTCTCTAATCCCTGAATTTTAATTGTAAACATAATTTGAATAGTTATACTCTGCATCTACATTTTCTTTTACTTCATTTCTTTCTTCACTCCACAGTTTCAGCTTCATGCCTCGCCTTCTCTTATGCTCCCACTTTCCTTTCTTCCATATTCTGAACGTCAATTCTACATAAGAAAAAAAAAACTTTGCTACGTGTACTGCGTTTGGCTAACTGAAACTTATCACAGCACTTACATATTAGGTATTGCCCTTTTGTTGGTTTTGATTGCTTCAATTGTCCTCATTTGTAAGTCGCTTTGGATAAAAGTGTCTGCTAAATGACAAAATTTAAATATAATCAATTCTACATAAGAAAAAAAAAACTTTGCTACGTGTACTGCGTTTGGCTAACTGAAACTTATCACAGCACTTACATATTAGGTATTGCCCTTTTGTTGGTTTTGATTGCTTCAATTGTCCTCATTTGTAAGTCGCTTTGGATAAAAGTGTCTGCTAAATGACTAAATGTTCATGAAAATAATCAGTGAATGTCAGTTTATTAATGAATGTGAAGGTTCAAAGTGGGCCACTTTATCTAGCACCTTCAACCAAAGTATGCCAGCAATATTCACCTTACAATAAAAACTAACCATTTTTAACAAATCCTTTGTGCTTTAATTCATGTTAACAAATAACAAGTTCCGTCACAATAATATTTGTTTTAGCGAGGAACCTTACAAGTTTGAAATAAAGATCTGAATGTCAAAGAGCTTAGATTTAATGAGTTCTCCTTTGAGATGTGTTCACACCCACCAGTGTCATACAGCATCATCCAAAACAGTTTTCTTATTCTAAGAAACAGTGTCCCTTTGATAAAAGACCATTGTTATGCTCTGAAAGTGTAAATCATTTGAGCACAGTACAATCAATCTTAAAGGGGTCATATGATGCTATTTTAAAGATCATTATGTTGTGTATTTGGTGTAACAGAATATGTTGACATGCTTTAATGTTCAAAAAACACATAATTTTTCAAATACTGTACATTATTGTAGTTCCTGATGGAAAGATGGAAATCACAAATTTATTTTAACCATAACCATATTTTAACCAGTGATTTCCAGATGACACTGCAAAACCGTACATTGACTTCTAAATGGGAGTCACATGATGCGGGAACATCTTAAGAAAACCTGCAGTAGAAACACCTGGGGGACACCTACTATCAACAAACAATACAGCAAATGTGTGTATGTTTTAACTGGTATTATACTACGGGGCCGTTGAATGCTTGAATCTGTTTGGCTGATGAACGTTCTAAGGTGTGCTATTATTTTCAGGGAAACGCACGGCGAACGTAGTTCCAGGCAGATCTTGACCGAATTACAGTTCCGTATCACTTTGCCAAATGATTTCAGTTTTTTCAAAGGTCCTTTCAGCCTAAAACAGCAAAATAACCAAAACCTACAACGACACTGACTAAGCATATAAATATAGTAAACAATAGGATAAAAACGACAGATTATTTCCATGTTTTTGCCACAAAATTACGTTTTATTATGTTCGGAAAGGACATACTCTATTTCTCTTGCTCTCTTTCCCTCACAGACGCACACACGGGAACATAAGCGCTAATGTTGTTAGCGCTACTCTGATGATTTAATTAGTAAAATAGTTTAGCAACTTAAAAGCTACATGACATTTCTCACAAGCGAGGTAACAGCGGGGCTGTTCTTGAAGAAAATGTACTTAATGTTTTACTGTTAGTAATGTTAGAGACGCTGCTGCCGATCACTGCTGAGAGATGCACAGACTCAGGTAATTCACACACGCTTAATCGCTCTCTCTCTCTCTCTCTCTGTCTAATACCTTCATTAATAACTGCATTAGCCTGCTATCAACGGCTCAAACCTCTGTTACTAGGTCTAAAATGAAGTTTTGGAATTTGCAAAGGAGGTGTTGGATGAGATGCGGAAGAAATTAATCCTACTCACAAGAGCGTTTTAAGTACAAAAACCTTACAAATGCCTTGAGATATCTCATCTGATCGGTGTCTTGAGCTGTGGCAACCGTAGTATAAGCAGAATAACTGACTTCGGTCCATTGAATTATCAGAAAAATAATGCACACCCGAGGTGTTACTCCGCTTCGCGTCGTGGCCGCATCACCACCTCGAGTCAAATGTACACCAAAATGTAAAAATCGTAAGGTTTAGTTTTTTCACTATTTTTAATAGTTCGAAAAACCTACTTTTTCGAACTCGTCCTAGACGGATTGTCTGATTTTCACCCAAATTGGCTCAGATCAGACCCCTAGAGGACGCAGTTCGAAGTTCCCATGAAAGGGAACCAAGTTTACTATGGAAAATCATTTAATTATTGGTGATGAACATTTAGAGATTGTTCTATTTAGACAGAGCAGAAAAACAAGATGTAATTAAACAAACAGCAGAATAACAGCTCATACTTAAAATGTCTGATATAAAACAAAAGTGAACTTTACAAAACAAAGGAAACTTACTCTTTGGTTAGTATGACCCAATTTTTAAAGTATAGATGAAAGTCCATACCCCAGTGACTGCATTCATAGTATGTTACATAATAAAGTGTAAAATCATATTGTAACCTTATTTTTAGATGAATTATCTCAGAACACAGAAACAATCCCTCCACAAAATAGTAACAGAAATTGCAGTGGGGAACATTTTGGAAGTTTCTTTTAATCATTCATAATGGCATATGAGCTGTTGGAGCTGTCTGAAGATGTTAAGGAAATGTTGTCTTCAGATACATCTGCAAATGTAAGATGCATGTTATTCACTGAACTGTCTATTGTCTCAATTAATTTAGCAGACCTTTATCAAATGAGAAATATAACTATATATATATATATATATATATACACACAATAATAATTGTTAGTTTCTAATTATGTGTCATCAACTTACTCCTCCGCCGCATCCTTAGCAAGAAAGTTTGTCCAGATGTGGATGATGATCCTGCTGTAGTGCTCTGAAAGGAGATATCAGTTGAAATAAATCAGATAGAGTAAACAATGTAAAAAATAATATTTAGATCTTTGGGGAACCCAAAATGGTTCATCTATGGAATATCTGTGAAAACATCTTTTTGGAACTTAATCAGTGTGTCCCAAATTGTGTACTTATGCATTATTCTATTAGAATTACTACGTTTTGTAGTATAAATCGTGCGAGTAGTGTGTTCACACTATATAGTATAGTGTGTCATTTGGGACGCAGTTTATATTTTTCTGCAGTTCACACTGTAATGTCTGCTTATTACACAGAAAACTTGATTCTGGTTTAGTGCACCATCCGGCTGTCAGATTTTTTTTCTAATATTTGGTGTCATACATATAATATTTGGAGTCATAATTAGGTAATTAAACCCTGTTTTGTATGTTACAATGGACTTTTCTTAATAAAAGCTTTAATACAAATGTAATCAAATTAATATTTCATTTTCACATACTTGGTGGGCAGCTGTGTAATATGCAGGATAAAAACAGTCTAAATATCAAAAACAGTGTGATGCTATGATGTTATAGTGTATAATTTAAGGAAATGTAATAATGGAAGATCTTTAGGTTAACATTAGAAAGTTAAGCAGCATTAAGTGGCTTAAGCTCTTTACAAAGCAACAGTAAACTCATACCTTGATGTCTAAAAGCGTTCCAAACACCAAAACAAAGAATCCCTATTAAAGGAAGTGTTACAAATACATGAAATTCATTAAACAAAAAAAAAAGAAGGAAAAAAACCAATAAAAACATAAAGTGTAGCAATACAGTAGACTGTATAGATATAAAATTGCATAAAATGTAATCTTACTATAAAATTAATAATGCGGTGACAAAAAGTAGTACCTGCAGTGAATTGAGGAGTGCAAACACCACATGAATACCAAAGTCATGTGACACCATGGTTCCAATTCCAAATCCCCATGTTAGACCAAAGAGAGGAGTCAAAATGGCCACACATCTGGCATTGACCACCAGGGCATGTTTCTCATCTGGTTGGATTGCAACACCAACTCCTCTCCTCAAAATCTTGTACAGAACCACAATCAAAACCACAAGGTTTATGGCTACAATAGTGAGAGCTGGAACCACAAATGCCAGCAGGGCCTTTGACTCATGCCAGTTCAGCCAGCATGCATTTCTTTTGGAAATATAATTTTGAGGTCCAGCTGTTGATGCAACAGTAATGACCGCTATGAGCAAAGGTGCACCATAACCGACTATAAAGGCAATGACCATCATTTTGGCCCTTGACATTTGAGACAAGACCATGACTGTACGGTAAAAGAGCAACAGCGCTGACATTAACATCCAGAAGAAAAGAGCCAGGTAAAAAAAGTGCATGAAGAAAACCGCTGAACTGCAGCGCCACACAGAGGTTGGTTGTTCCTGTTCAGCGACTGCCGCTCCAATAATAAAACAGATGTTTGCGATCAGCAGGGACACGGCAATGTTGACTATGGAGACATGTCGCATGTAGGATGTGTCATTTCTTCTTACTGACTTCCATACGATAGTCTCAATGATCAGGCATATAATCAAGCTGGCCATTGAAATAGACACGCAAAACAAAGAATCCCTATTAAAGGAAGTGTTACAAATACATGAAATTCATTAAACAAAAAAAAAAGAAGGAAAAAAACCAATAAAAACATAAAGTGTAGCAATACAGTAGACTGTATAGATATAAAATTGCATAAAATGTAATCTTACTATAAAATTAATAATACGGTGACAAAAAGTAGTACCTGCAGTGAATTGAGGAGTGCAAACACCACATGAATACCAAAGTCATGTGACACCATGGTTCCAATTCCAAATCTACTGACTTCCATACGATAGTCTCAATGATCAGGCATATAATCAAGCTGGCCATTGAAATAGACACGCCAATGTAATTTATATAAGATGAGGCTATGTACAAAATGTAAAACGGTGACATTAGGATTGAAAAAGAAGTTGTGTGGTTGCATTCACACATAATTTTATTCCTTGAGTGCTTTACTTCACATCCAGTGGAATCCCATGTGTTGAGACTAAAGTTCCAAAAGACACACTCAGGATATCCCAAAGACTGAATGTCAAACGTAAAAGAAATGTTGTTAAGCATTTCATTAACCTTAACAACAACCACATCTCCAAAACGGTGACATTAGGATTGAAAAATAAGTTGTGTGGTTGCATTCACACATAATTTTATTCCTTGAGTGCTTTACTTAACATCCAGTGGAATCCCATGTGTTGAGACTAAAGTTCCAAAAGACACACTCAGGATATCCCAAAGACTGAATGTCAAACGTAAAAGAAATGTTGTTAAGCATTTCATTAACCTTAACAACAACCACATCTCCAATGATGCGCGCATCTGATCTCCTTCTGTCATTAGTACCTTGAGAAAGTAGGACATTGTTAAGAGTTGAGAAGATTATGATGGTTATGGTAGTCTCTTGAGGAACATGTGGTATCACAATCTCTGTAGCTGAGTTTGGCAGTCTTGATATTGTACTGAATGAGTTTTTAATTGTAGTTCTTATCAACTGAATATATTTTTCATAAATCTCAAACTCATCTGTGAGACGGTCACTTATATCCTCAATAGCGCTCAGAAGTTTAATGCTGGTGTTTTTTGTGTTGTTGCCTTTGTTCAGTTTGTTCCATGTATCACTGACACTAAATGATACAATAATGTCCACAGTTGCTAGAAAATTCTGGAAATTGAATATAAAACTGATTAATATGATGAGATTTATCCCATAGAATGTAGAATATAATATCATGAAAAAAAGTACACTGAATCAACGCTCATGGTAGCTTCAGATTTGAGGTACACACTTGGAAGCAGATTATAATGTGCTTGTCTCTCTCTTGTTTATCACTTGCACTTACATATATCTGAATGTACCATCCAGCTGGTCCTGAACAGACTTTTTGGACCATATTAAAGTAAGATTACAAACAGACTTTTTCCACATTTTCACCACTTTTTGATGTTTTGATTTTCTCCTAAACTAAAAAGAAATACATTGTGTAAAAGTTTCAATGACTGTGCAAAGTATTTGAATATTTAAGGAGACAAGCACCGTTCAATTTATTGTTGGCTATTTTATATATTATTTTCTTGCTAAACAATTGCCTGTATGATTCTTCTAAAGGTCACATTAGCAAAATTGTCTATTGTCAATAGTGTAGCACAGTCACTTTCAAACCAAGCAACTTTCTGTTGGTCAACATGGCAAATTCACATGATGAATTTGAACCAATTGTGAAATCTGAGTAGGGAAATCTTTCAGCATCACGTGAAACTTCTGATGACTGGGATTCCTATTAAAATGTTTCGATTTTGCCCTGTAAATTTGCATCCTCACCCAAAACACAATTACACTGAGTAGACCACACCTCACCATCGTTTCTTCTGCATTTGCTCTCCCTCACTCATTTCTCCCCCTCTCCTTTCTCTAAATTCTGAGACCACCCCAAATTCACCCAAAATCTGAATGATATTTATTGTGAACAATAGTTAACTATACATATGAGGTGCCATTTGAATTGTACAGTGAGACTGGTACAGTGGTGTCATTCTCATGGGAAGTAAACTAAAAAGTAATAAAGATTCTAAAAGTGTCTTTCATGCAAATTAACTTCTGTCCCCAAAAGGTGTATAAACTCCCCAGGTCTAGGCCTTGATGCATGCAAATTCCAATTGTTAGTTCTTACCTCCATTTGTTGGGGGGGGGGGATTGCGCTTAGGGAGCTTATTGCTTAGGGCCACCCATAACGTAAACACACCCCTATAGGCTATAAAGGCTAATATGGTAATTTCCATTTAGAACATACCTCATTGAGCACAATCATAATGTCACTCAACCAGTTAAGATAGGGTGAACCTCTGATTACTGTAGTGTAACTCTAGCTAAGTGTACATGGAACATTCAATTCAACACAAGTGCAAGATGTCTACACATCACATTGTATATAAAAGCTTGAATGTGAATATACATACCTCCATCACTTGCTTATTGATGAAAATTGATTGTGACAAATCAGCAATGTTAAAGAGTATATCAACAATTGCTTGAACAGTAGCAGCAGACTGGCTTACAATAATTTCATGCTGTGCTGTGGCAGAACTGAGGTCAGCTATAAACACTGGAATCTCCTCCACAAGCAAGGACTAAATTGCAAAGTGCACAAATGCAAATACTATAAACATTTAACATGGCTAGATCATTGTAGATATATACATGATAAATAGATTACCGTAAGTTCGTTTTTAAGACTGTCGATAACTCCAAGTACACAGTTGTCCTCTACTGGTTTCCAAAAACCTGATTCACATTTGTAAGTTATGGTGCCTTTCATGTCTTTTCCACAGACTCCTGTCTTCAGTTCATCTGTTTTTCCAACTCCAAGTTTTTCATTTTGACAGTCATAATCTAGAGTGGAAGAGTACTTGATTCAGTCAGAAGGAAACAGACTCAATTGAACAATTTCTCTCAGAATATAATGTCACACTCTGTAAATGTTGGAACTCGCAAAGTATCCCTGAAGGGACTGTGCACTCAATGCAGAAGCCTCAGAAATAACTAGGGTCAAATAACTAAATAAAAGGACCAAAAAAGGACCAAAACAGTCAAAACCAACAGAATTGAATGTCAGAAGATCAGGTGTGATGCAATCCAAAGAAAAGTTTGCCATTTTATGCTAAGCGACAAAACTTTGATATATATATATGACACAGTGATGCTCATATGATTCTTCTGAGCTCAAGTTCAAGTTTAAAGTCTTTACACCATGTCTACACTGGATACGAGGGGCATGGCTCGACAAAATACAATAGAACCCATTATAATCAGTGATGCTGTCTACATTGGATGCGGCGCAGCACAACACAACAAATCCCCGACAGTATTATATAGTAGTGCAATTGTACAGTGCAGTATGTAAATATGTAAATTCTGTGCAAGTCGCATGTATGCATAAACAACTCCAATTTGGAATTGGGTATGGTGAAGAGTCCGTATTGAAATACTGTGCTACCATACCACACTGTGATACAGCTGGTTAAAGGGTTACGGTGCTGCTGAAGCAGGAGCCGGTGTTCTGACGTATAACCTGGATGCTCTGTGCCTTGTTTGCAAGCAGAGGAATGCACACGCTCTCTCGGGAACACGTGGAAAAACCAGGCGCAGTGTATCCGGGTTCTACGTCGGAACGCCGACTCCTGCGTTTTACATTTGAGGTGTTCGTATATTATGTGATGTGTTGCAGGTCTTGCCACATCTGCCTAGCATCAGCAGTAGAGTAAAAACTGTCAATTTTCTCTCTGAACTGTCTTTTAGCCTCCTTGATGGTGTCAAAGCTGATGGTACCAGCAACATTGTAATGTCAAAAGATGGCTAACTTTCATTTGGATTGCATCATACTTTCTTTGTCGTTCACCATTCACCAATCAATTTGGTATATTTAATCAAATCAATTAAATTTTTGCAAATGTAAGGAAACATTCTTGCTTTCATTATTACACTCCTAAACCCCTAATCAATACCACCAGCAGAGGCAATGGTAACCAAAGCATATCTCATCATTAAAACAAATGTAAATACATTGACATGTACATAAATAATTAAATAAATAACAAATGCAAAAAAAATGCATATCTATAAACCCATTCAATAGTATTTCCATAACAATAACAATTCATATCACTTTTCAAATTACACTGTTCAAAACCAAAATTTTTTACTGTTTAGTAAAATTACCATAACACATTAATTAGATTGCTAAAATCATCATATCTAATTGAAACAGCTGATGCTGAAAAAATGAGAAACTGAAGGCTCACTTTCTGGGCTTGTCCTAACTGTGACGCTGCTATAGCTGTATCTGTAATTCTGTAGTTGTGGCAGATCCTTGAGACGACATGTAAAGATTTCCTCTATACAATTTTCCTTTGGATAGATTAATGTGATACTGTCAGATCCTGACTGGGGAAAAACGACCATCAATAAGCCATCAAAAGCCATAATTTTGCCTTCATAATTTGAAAATAAAAAATAAATAATGATGCTATATATATATATATATATATATATATAATAAAAATGTACCAACAATTTATATGTACAACCTGAAATTAGTACTGTTCCACCTATGACCCACTCAATAAGGTAGCTAACATCAATGGAACATTTCAGTTGGAAACTGCTGCCATCACATGGAAAAACACGATATTTATCACCCACAATAATACTGGGGCATTGTTTAATAACAATGTTTTGCCACTGAATGTATGGTATTGTATTCCTTTGTATGATGCATGAATATTGACCTGCATGTGGGAGGATAGACATCAATAAAAAGAATGCATATTTATTATTTTATAAAGAAAACCCAATGCTTTCATTTTAAGAAAGTAAAAAAAAAAACTTATTAGTATTCTTATCATCATTTATTATGTAATGTAAGCAATACTTCTGTAAATCTTCATGACGTTAACATACATTAAGTGTAGCTTAATTTGTATTGGTTTCTTGGTTAAAGGTGCAGTGTATAAGGCCCTGTCCACATGAACGCAGTTATTTTCAAAACCGCAGCTTTTTCTACGCAGTTTGGCCATTCGTCCACACGCAAATGCAGCACCAGGTCACTGAAATCAGCAGTGTTGCCAACTGCTTTCAATTTAAAGTAGCTAAAACTGGTAGCTAAATGTCACTAGATGACATCACAAATTTTCATGTAGACAGAGATTTTTTTAAAAACGGAAGAAGCAAAAACTCCATTTATAGAAATACCCGTGTACGTGTGGACATGGCCTAAATTTTAGCAGCATCTAGCGGCGAGGTTGCGAATTGCACATAGAGATACGGTGGCCGACACAGGACAAAGATGTCGTCGTCTGAGACAGCAGAGATAGCCAGTGGTAAATTAAGAAATTATATTTACTTAAGTTTTTCAGTAAACCGATATGTAGATAGAAATGGCTCATTCTAAGGTAATAAAAACATAACGGTTCATTATGTAAGGTCTTTATACACCTCTGAAAAAAAAGTTGTGTATATTATATTGCAGTTCTGTCAAAAGATCCTCCTAAATATTACACATTGCACCTTTAATGTTGATATGGCTGTATCATCTACTCTATACCGTATATGATATAATCTAGTACAATCATATGCTATATGTCAGAATGCTAATATGCTCAATCATTTAAATGATATTATGGAACAGTTTTACTGCAGTCTGCTTTGAAAAACAGGACAGGAGCTATCAGGCACTAGTAGTAAAATATCATAGACAATACAAAAATAAATCTCGTCACTCACCACTGTCACTTTCACTAGCGTTTTTTACAGTGAGAGTTCTGTTGTCATTTGAAAGTAAATATCTTATGTTGTCTAGTGCAGGATCTTTGTTATCCACTGTCCATTTTATTTGTCCCTTTGCAAAGTCTGGCTGTATACAGTTCAGGTCCACCTTTTGCAGAGGATATAACTGATCTGTTGTGAAGACTGTTTGATCTGTAAACAAAACCCATACAGCTCATATCACCCAACAATGAACAAAAACAAAACATAAATATGATGGAGCTAAGAAATGTGAAGGGTTTTAGATTAGGCACTGACTACTCTTACCACTTTGAGCAAAAGCATCTTCAGTTAAAATTATTCCTTGTGCCCTTAGAGAGTCAGAAACCTGAGATAGCCAGTGGTAAATTAAGAAATTATATTTACTTAAGTTTTTCAGTAAACCGATATGTAGATAGAAATGGCTCATTCTAAGGTAATAAAAAAATTATCCTAAATATTACACATTGCACCTTTAATGTTGATATGGCTGTATCATCTACTCTATACCGTATATGATATAATCTAGTACAATCATATGCTATATGTCAGTATACTAATATGCTCAATCATTTAAATGATATTATGGAACAGTTTTACTGCAGTCTGCTTTGAAAAACAGGACTCTAAATGCTATCAGGCACTAGTAAAATATCATAGACAATACAAAAATAAATCTCGTCACTCACCACTGTCACTTTCACTAGCGTTTTTTACAGTGAGAGTTCTGTTGTCATTTGAAAGTAAATATCTTATGTTGTCTAGTGCAGGATCTTTGTTATCCACTGTCCATTATTTTTACTTAGTTTTTCAGTAAACCGATATGTAGATAGAAATGGCTCATTCTAAGGTAATAAAAACATAACGGTTCATTATGTAAGGTCTTTATACACCTCTGAAAACATAGTTGTGTATATTATATTGCAGTTCTGTCAAAAGATCCTCCTAAATATTACACATTGCACCTTTAATGTTGATATGGCTGTATCATCTACTCTATACCGTATATGATATAATCTAGTACAATCATATGCTATATGTCAGAATGCTAATATGCTCAATCATTTAAATGATATTATGGAACAGTTTTACTGCAGTCTGCTTTGAAAAACAGGACTCTAAATGCTATCAGGCACTAGTAAAATATCATAGACAATACAAAAATAAATCTCGTCACTCACCACTGTCACTTTCACTAGCGTTTTTTACAGTGAGAGTTCTGTTGTCATTTGAAAGTAAATATCTTATGTTGTCTAGTGCAGGATCTTTGTTATCCACTGTCCATTTTATTTGTCCCTTTGCAAAGTCTGGCTGTATACAGTTCAGGTCCACCTTTTGCAGAGGATATAACTGATCTGTTGTGAAGACTGTTTGATCTGTAAACAAAACCCATACAGCTCATATCACCCAACAATGAACAAAAACAAAACATAAATATGATGGAGCTAAGAAATGTGAAGGGTTTTAGATTAGGCACTGACTACTCTTACCACTTTGAGCAAAGGCATCTTCAGCTAAAATTATTCCTTGTGTTCTCAGAGAGTCAGAAACCTGTGTGTTTGCTGCTCCAAAATCAAGGCTGTTGGATGTTGCACTTATAGTGTAGTCTGCTATAACACTCCCAGGTCTATGGAGCAGAACACAAAACACACCAATGTAAAGACATGTAGTTTTACTGCAGTCTGCTTTGAAAAACAGGACAGGAGCTATCAGGCACTAGTAAAATATCATAGACAATACAAAAATAAATCTCGTCACTCACCACTGTCACTTTCACTAGCGTTTTTTACAGTGAGAGTTCTGTTGTCATTTGAAAGTAAATATCTTATGTTGTCTAGTGCAGGATCTTTGTTATCCACTGTCCATTTTATTTGTCCCTTTGCAAAGTCTGGCTGTATACAGTTCAGGTCCACCTTTTGCAGAGGATATAACTGATCTGTTGTGAAGACTGTTTGATCTGTAAACAAAACCCATACAGCTCATATCACCCAACAATGAACAAAAACAAAACATAAATATGATGGAGCTAAGAAATGTGAAGGGTTTTAGATTAGGCACTGACTACTCTTACCACTTTGAGCAAAGGCATCTTCAGCTAAAATTATTCCTTGTGTTCTCAGAGAGTCAGAAACCTGTGTGTTTGCTGCTCCAAAATCAAGGCTGTTGGATGTTGCACTTATAGTGTAGTCTGCTATAACACTCCCAGGTCTATGGAGCAGAACACAAAACACACCAATGTAAAGACATGTATTAACATTGTATTTGTTTGAAAAGGTAAAACTAAATGGAAAAGTTTTGCGGGAAAAAAAAAAAAAGTTTAAATTGTAAATCATACCTGAAGCCAGTGACTTTTGCAGAACCAACCTTGTAGCCAGTTAGCTTATTAGAATAGCTTGTGTCAATCTGTAAAAAATAAAAGTATGCCATGTGTGCTTGAACAAAACAATGTTACAATAATAAAAATTACATAAAGTCATTGTATTATTAGTACTGTATTATGATGTTCACTACATTATGTGCTTGTATGAATCAAGTGCTGCAAACATTTGTGAGTCCATATTAGTGTTTCAGTTAAACATTTTTGTTAATATTTATTAAATAATAAAAAATAATTATTATTTCAATAATTTAATCATATGGCAAATTATCTCTTTAATGGGCTGCATTACTGCAGTTAAACTGAATTCACATAGTGAATTAGTAAAGTCATCACCTACAAAGCTTTGGAAAGTGGTTTTTATTTTATTAATACTAACATGCATGTTATGACTTCTTCAAAGGTATAGATGTTTCAACCATAGATATATATATATATGGTATTAAGGACTCAAATTCAGGACTATGCTTTTAACGGCAACATAAACTAACATTACTGCGAATGCGTGCTTTTGTGGCCCAAACTTAACTTCCGGTAGACTTCCACAAGGAATCAATAACAACAGCAAAGTCCCTCTAGAGTAGATTATTTCTGATAACAAGCTTAATATGTTTGCTGCGTAAATCAGACAGGCTTATTGAAAATGCAAATTCATTCTCTGCCAGCAGGAGGTGCTTTTAGAATGGGAGAAACAGTGGTTTCCCCGGTAATGGCTGTACACGAAGCAGCATTGATCTCACAAACACTCACAAACGTGCAGTGCTCATGTTATTCAACGAAGTCAAAGCCTTTTGGAAAATCTATTCGAGGCGGTCAGTTTTGATAGTGTCGCGGGTCGCCAAAAATAAATAAATGTATGTATGTATGGGAAACACATCCCACAGCACAACAGCCTGAGCCCAACTTCAGTCTACTCATCAACTTAACTTTAAATGTGTTCGTAGTCGGTGTCACTAGCCAGACTGATAAACAAACACAGACCAGATGTTATCTTCGGGCCAGGCACGTGCGCCCAATGAAACCGTCTATATTTAAGCTGTATTCAAAATTGTATTTAAAGTATTCAAAAAATTCAAAAATCAACCAAATACACAAATAATATATTTCTTTAAAATATGAAATATGGAATACTCACTGCTGACTCAATTTGTCCAGATAAATCTTTGTAAGTCTTGCTATTACGGTCAGTAAGACTGATGTCAAAAATCTGATTTATTGCCATTGACATTCCAATAACTGTAAAAGAAGTGTACATTTATGTGTATTAAAACTACAGGTATAAGCAATAATCCTCAATACTAAAACTACCTAGTTTGTATGCTTACAGTACCTGTCTGTGCTGAGGTTACTGTTGAGGCTGTTGAATATTTTAAGTTCTGAAATGACAGGATTCTCTCATTTTTCATATTCTGTGAATTTAATTCATGCAGTAAAATGCAGTAAATAAACTTCCCCTACCCGTAAATCTAGTGTTTCCACAACACATTCATGGGTCAGCAGGGCAGCCATGAAGATTCCTATGAAGTACAGGAATAGTTGTCCTGTATCTAAGGAATTGAAATATCTCATGAACAGAAACCATAATAAAAAAAGCAAAACATTTATTATTCAGTTTGGTGTTCACTAGCTATGTGACGCAGCACTCTGTGTGTGCGCTGTGCACACAGAATACAGCGCGTGGGTGCTGAATTAAGCTCTTTCGATTCATTTTGCTTGAATGTTTGAATTAGGGAGATGTATTTGTTTGTTCAAGTGCAAGAAGACTCGAAAAATAAATTCTGTGTTTGCGCCCTTTTTAAGACGCATCTCTCTGTGTGCGCACAGAACGCAGTGCGTGAGGACTCAGTTGAGTTCTTTCTTGTTGCGTCTTCTTGTGCTTGAATGCTTTAAAATCTCTTGAATGTTTAAACTACCAAGGCTTGAAAACACATGTAAAACAGCAGTGGCCTTTCAACTGTCCTGAGCGCCTTTCATGCTGGCCTTGGGCAGTTGGTTAAAATCACTGGGCCCCCCCCCAGGGGTGTCGGACAGGGGGTAATAGTGGAACTATGTAACAGGGGGCCTCATGGAGGGGGGGGGGGCACAAATATATATTGATAATCCCTAATATTAACATGACAAAATGGCATAGTTATAATTATATGCTTGTCAGTAAGAACAACACTTCGCAAGACTCAATTTTACATCAGTAAAAACGAGAAATGTTCTTTATTTGCCTGGCAGCAGGTGCCCATGTTAGCAATCCCCCTATCAAAAGGAAAAGTGGTTTGGTCTTGTAGCGGAGAGAGGGAAAGAAAACTGCAGGAGGGCAGACAACTTCTAGCTGTTGTTTTCAGAAGAATGGTAATGATACGCATTGCGAAAGAAGCATTCTGATCCCTTTGCCTCAATGTAGTAGTGTCAAAAATACCAGTACAAAGTGGATAATTAAATTGTAAACGTGATGTTACCAGTTTTTCTTAATTAGATACCCGCTGATAGGCAACTGCATTCAAACAGTGCCGTGCGTATTTGTGTTTGTTATGGACAGCTTCAGTGATGAAAGAGAGCACACTTTCTGTATATATATATATATATATATATATATATATATATAAAAAGCAGTGTGTTTTTGGTCCACCCCTTGGTTCTGTGACCGGGGCCCAACATTTGGTGCTACACCACTATAATCGTCACCACCTTTCTCCCCACTAGCGACGGCCATGCTTCAGTCCGTTGGATTATTAAAATATAATGCACTCCTGAGGTGTAACAGCCACATTGCATCACCACCTCAGATGTGCATTATTTTTTAACAATTCAGAATCAGAATCAGAATCAGAATGAGCTTTATTGCCAGGTATGTTTACACATACGAGGAATTTGTTTTCGTGACAGAAGCTTCCACAGTGTAACAGAATGACAGTGACAGAACAAAAAAAAAAACAGCACATCTTCTTTAACACAGTTACATCTGTACACCACCTCTCATTGATGTAAAAGCATGTCCCGCCGCCGCGCGAACACATTGACACATGTGTCATGTGTCATTCAATGACACATTGTCAATTATTCCTTACATAAATGTCTGCACAGTTCACTAATAAGTACTTTTTACTTGTAATACTTAAGTACAATAAAAAGCATGTACTTTTGTACTTTTATTCAAGAAAAATTGAAAAGGAGTACATGTATTTTTACTTTACCATCAATGGTATTCAGACAAATTGCAAATGCTGAACTTTGTACTTGCATGTACTTTATATGTAAGTAGATGTTCTGATAAAATGCAAGAGTATAATAACAGGTGTAAACAAAGCCAGATCGTAGTTACAGTAAACCAAAAATAAGTTTATTTTGTCTTTTTGTACCTTGACCAGCCATGTTTCTCACTGATGTATGTCACTTCAATGTATTTCTTCAAAACAAAATGCAATTATATGGCTCATCCAGACACCTGGCATCTGTAAAATAGGAAATTCTTGCATATATAATCAGAGAACAATGATAAGAATAAATGTATTAAAATTTAGATTTTTAATTAAAAATGTTTAAGGCCTTTCGTAATCTCCTGTGTCCTAATTGACATAAAAAAAAATACTGACTTTGGGATTGATTGATGTTTACACAATATACCTACATTACAACAGCTAGGGTCAAATCTTGTGTTGATGTATTATTATTTATTTCATAATAAATTACAATGATAAACTAAACCCATTAACTTAATTTAGGTCAAATTCTTGCTCTTTACATTAATAGCAGACTCCAGCTAGAACAACTTTCAAAAGTACAGCATTGAACAGTTCATTTCAAAGACAAGATAAGAAAATCTTTCTATAAATGTACTTCAGAAAGGCAGTTTACAGCAGTTACACATTTAAAAGAATAAACACGCCGATTTGTCACTCTTACCTTGCCTCTGGAAACAACCTGAAGAGATACCGAACTCGTTTCGCAAGGTCTGAGATTTTGTTTCCTTGTCAAATGATCCACCTATAAAATCTTACTGGAATTAACGAGTCTGCGCAGGTCAACAGTAACGTAGACAAGTTTGATTACCCCATTTATACCTCATTCATAGGAGTCATTATATTAATCTATATAGATTTTAGTTTTTTTTGCACCAAAAAAAATGTCCAATGTTTGTAAAAGTTAGAATTTTCAATAACAATTTTCACTGTCTGTAAAAAAATTATTTTTTTTTTAAACTCTTGCAGAACCGGAAGTAAACACTGCTGTGACTTTATCGCACTGTATCTATGCCCTCCTTCACAGCCCATCCCAAATGAGCAAGTAGGTTTGACAGAAATAGAAAAATAAAAGGGTAAGTTTATGTTCAGTTTGGCAGACTGTTCTGTAGCCACATATTTAGGATTATTATGGGGACAAAATATAATTTTTCAATATGACACATGGCCCAGAGTAGAGTAGCATAACAAAGGATTTTTGACTGCTAAATTAAATTTTCAGTGGCTTGTTTTATTGAATACACATAATTATTGTAGATTTGTATTTATTTTAAATTTCATTTATAAAATCATATTTTAAATATTACACAGTTTGAATGTTTTTCCTGTTGATTTAAAGGGGTCGTAATGGCTCAGTGTTCTCTTTCTAATATTTGTCCACTAGGTGGTGGTGTTCCATGGTTTTGCCTCTCCTTCAGAGCGAGCGTCAGATACAGGTGTGGAGTGTTACCTGTGATTGGCGTTTGGGTTTAAAAGACGGAGATTCAGAGTATTTTCACTGTCTGTAAAAAAATTTTTTTTTTTTTTAAACTCTTGCAGAACCGGAAGTAAACACTGCTGTGACTTTATCGCACTGTATCTATGCCCTCCTTCACAGCCCATCCCAAATGAGCAAGTAGGTTTGACAGAAATAGAAAAATAAAAGGGTAAGTTTATGTTCAGTTTGGCAGACTGTTCTGTAGCCACATATTTAGGATTATTATGGGGACAAAATATAATTTTTCAATATGACACATGGCCCAGAGTAGAGTAGCATAACAAAGGATTTTTGACTGCTAAATTAAATTTTCAGTGGCTTGTTTTATTGAATACACATAATTATTGTAGATTTGTATTTATTTTAAATTTCATTTATAAAATCATATTTTAAATATTACACAGTTTGAATGTTTTTCCTGTTGATTTAAAGGGGTCGTAATGGCTCAGTGTTCTCTTTCTAATATTTGTCCACTAGGTGGTGGTGTTCCATGGTTTTGCCTCTCCTTCAGAGCGAGCGTCAGATACAGGTGTGGAGTGTTACCTGTGATTGGCGTTTGGGTTTAAAAGACGGAGATTCAGAGTGCAGTGGTGATCTGGGCTGGGCTGCCGTTCATCTTCCCTCTCCAGCCCTGGATTGTTTTTTTTGTTTGTTTCTTTCTTTCTCTCTTTCTTTATACATACTCATACTTAACTTTTGTATTATTTGATTTATTCTTGATTAAATGTTTATTTGTTAAACTTAGTCTTCTGTGTGGCCTCCCCTTTTGGTAATGTTACTTCACCCAGAGCCAAGTGGTTGTAACATTATGGGGACTCGTCTATAAGCTCAGTAAGTTTTGGTAAAATATTTGGTTTGAGAGATAATTGAATGAGTTTGATTAAAATGTGATATTTTGATTATTTTTGGGGAGAGTTTGCGTAATGCCACATTGAAAGTTTGGATTTTTGATTTTGCTGGGACTGGAGAGGAAAGAATTGTTCTTCAATCAAGGAATTGAGGCTTTGATGGTGGATTAAGCTTTTTTTGTACATGACCAGAGGTAAGTGAGACTTGCGCTCTAATTGCCATGAAGTGTAAGTGAGACGGATTAGACCAGGGGTGCCCAAACTCGGTCCTGGAGGGCCGGTGTCCTGCAGAGTTTAGCTCCAACTTGCCTCAACACACCTGCCTTCAAGTTTCTAGTATGCCTAGTAAGAGACAATGGTAGGTTATCCCGATCCGGAACAGCGTCACGAGGGCTTCTCCCTCGAGGGAGCTGGCGAGGGCGAGCGGCACGAACGCCCTCGCATAACTGACAGGGTCGGGGTTTCGCCTGAGCCACGGCAATGAATAACGCTCGTTCCTCCATTTGAACGGGGAGAAACGAACGGGGGGGAAAACAAAAAAACTATTCAAACAACGAAAAACAAACACGGGTAGAAGGGGCGCCGCTTACTGTCACTTTGGGTCCGGAATTCTGTCACGGGTTGCTACGGTGCGGGAACACGGAGCGAGGTACGAGGAGACCAGGAGTACAAAACAAAGGGGTTTAATATTCTCTTCAGGGAATCACATGTAGCACAAGGAGGGGACATAAACGATTCCGGACAAAGAAACTCAGAACGGGACTCACTATAAATATACAGACACCAATGGGACACACCAGGGAGCAAATTAACTAATTAAACAAACACCGCTGGAACCAAATTCATACAACAGAGGACAGGAACAGGAAGGACCAAATAAGGAAAACCGGAACTAAACGGAAACATACACGTGACAATGTGTCAGATATAAAATATGTTAAATAACTTATTAAATTACTTAGTAATTACTGAGTGGTTA